GTGTGTGTGTGTGTGTGTGTGTGTGTGTGTGTGTACCTGGGTTGTCCAAAGTTAGACCTGAGGCACGTTTCTATATGACAATAAAACTTCATATTGTAATAATAAAATAAAACCATGTCACAAAAGTTGAATGCAACAAGATTAACACATTTCGATGTATATATAAAGTTACAAGATATTATACGTCGAAATACATGTAAAAAGTTTCATAAGAAATTGTCACTTTTTTGTTTAAAAATGAATTTGAATATTACCAGAAATCACACTACTTAACATATTTTTAAATAATAAAAATAATTTACAAAATTGTGACATGATTAATTTAAAAAAAATAAAAAAAATCAAATTAAAAATGTTTTTAGTTGAATGTTACAAAACACCATATTATTTTTAAAGTATATATTTTTAGACATCACACGGAAACTAAATTTTTGCTTTGTCGGCAGTAACACCAAGCTGAAACTTTTTTTTCGCCCCCATATGCTGATTCAACAGCATTTCAAATCCGTTTTAGCTGGTTTCTTAAAACACAAAAGTCCTTCTATTTCTGTATGCGGCCTTCGCTGGAAAAACTTTGGACATCCCTGGTGTATGCGGTGCGACACTCACTGGGCTGTGGACGCGCTGGACTGGTCTCCAGTGATGAGGCAGTGAAACCTGAAGAGTTTCAATGAATCAACGGACGAACAGAGCGACATTTTTGATGTTTCCAGACCAATTAAATGAAATTGCACAAATTCCTGCGGCACCCCATTGCGTTACAAACGTGATGGTAGACCCGCAGCATTGTCATGACAAAATCCCCAACCAGGAAAAAAGGCAGGTGGACTCACCCGTCTCGATGATGCCCCTCAGCTGCTCCTGGAACTTCTCCACCTCGCCTGCCAGCGACCCGTAGATGGCGTTGGTCCCCAGATCGCACGTGATGGAAACACCCGACCAATCGTTGGTGGGTAGAGGAGCAGTGACCGTAGCGAAATTCTGGCGCAGAATCAAGTTGGATCATTTTTGACATTGCCTCGATATTCACCTGGAGGTACGAGTATGCTCTTTGTCTTTATCAGTAAGACAACGCGGCGCATCGGGAGAACGACGAGGGCGAACTAGTAGAGTGATTCTGCATTCATTACCAGTAACATTTTTTAAAAAGCAAGTACCCTTTTAGCTTATCAGGACACATTAAACCTTACTAGTAAACTACTGTGGTGCACTAGAAAAACTACGAGGTACAATAGAAGGCATGTGTCAGTAACTTCCTGCACATTGATCATTTTGCATCACGAGGAACATGCATGTTGGATGCATTAAAAACTCACACCTAGGGACAATTTAGAGTGCTCGATTAAGCCTGCCATGAATGTTTTTGGAACGCGGGAGGAAACCGAAGCACCCAGACAAAACCCACGCAGGCATGGGGAGAACACGCAAACTCCACACAAGGGAAGCCGCAGCCGGGATCGAGCCCTGCACCTCTGCACTGTGAGGTCGATGCGGTACCCACTTCACCACCGGGCTACATATATATAAATGAAAACAAAAACCATTCTCTTGTTGGCTTGGCATGGGTTCAGAGGTCCAATCCAATGCTGTGTCAACATGAGACAGACATCGGGACAAGCAAACAGAAGGGAGGAAGGGCAAAGGCGAAACTCATAATTGAGGACAGAACGCTGAGGTGATTGGCAGGAAAACGTAGAGGCAGGAAGGTCTGAGACAGGCAGAGTTGATAACGGGAGATCAATCCAAAGAATAATGCTGGGGAGTCTTGCATGAAAGCGAAACAATTTGGCCAAGAGTGGCTAGTGAGGTGGCCGCGGCTGACGAGCTGAGAAAAGAGGGGAGAGGTGAACGGAAAAACACTGAGAGCACCCAAGCAAACAACTTGCGACACCCACATGTTGGCATTTCTCTCCTTCATAACCGACATAGACCCAAAGTTCACCACCTAATCTTCGACTCAAAATCTGTGCTGATCTCATATACAATGTGATGCAACGTCGCCATCTATCGGGATCTGTTCGCGTTAGTCATGACAGCGGTTTCCAAACCTGAAACTCGCAGACATGCTGGGCGAGACGGTCGTAAATACATTTCGGATAAAGACGTGAATTTCGAGGAGCCCTCCGTAACACAGTTCACCTTGACACCGTGTAGGTGGTCATCCGTGGTCGAGAGTTGCGTGAGAGCGCTCTCCCGCCGCCGCAGCTCTTCCACCTCCTGCTCGAGCTGCCGTATCAAGGCATCCGCCTGGTTCGCCGCCGTCTGCCGGTTGGCCTGCATGACGTTCATCAGCTCCGCCTGCGCTCGTTCGATGGCCGCCGTCAGCGCCGAGAAAATGCAGACGCTGCCCATCGTCGCCCGCTCCACCACCAGCTGGTTCCACACAAAATACCCCAAAGAAACTTCTCAAAACAGACGGACAATTCCCTCCAGCGGAACGGGTCCAAAAACGCGAAGCGCGCACGTGGCTGACAGACCTCCAGTTGGGATACCGATGAGCGGATATCCTCAATCTTCACGAGTCTTTGTTGGATCATCTCCTGGGTCTTCGACTCCATCTCTTTGAGCTGGGCCTGCGTAAGCACACACGCACGCACACACGCACGCACGCACACACACACACACACACACACACACACACACACACACACACACACACACACACACACACACACACACACACACACACACACACACACACAAAAATACTCTGACCTTTACTGCCCAAACTACAATTTGACCAAAATCAAACACCTGGAAATAACTGCACGCGTGCCAAGGTCATTCTTCAAACCAGGCAGTTCTCCGTGGCCACACGCATTGCACCATCTGAGAAGTGTGTGTTTTGTTCGCCCACCTGCTTGTCCACCCACGCTGCTTCCACCGTCACTGTGTCGTGATCAGGGTGCACCTCGGCCTCACACTCGGGACAGATGCACTCCCCGTCGGTCCGACAGAAAATCTGAAAGCAAAGACCGCGATGAGGGTGTCGTCGCCGTCGACACAAAGCGTGCAAACGAGCGTGTTTGGCTACCATGATCCCCCTGTGGTGAATGCCGCAGAGAGGAACGTTTTGGCTGTCCGCCGCCCCGCTCACGGTGAACCTCCTTCGGCCGTACGACTCGGCCGAGCGGGGTTGGACTGGAGGTGGTCCACCTGGGCCAATCATTGCAGAGAGCGGACTTTGAACGGGGACTGAAGACGATGCGGCCACGGGGTTCCCGGGGCTGGGTTCGCCACCTTGATTGTCACACATTTGTCAGCTCTACATGCTATCAAAAGCACTGACTTACATTTACAACCTAAATTGTAATATTTGTGCCGCCATTGTCTCACACACACACAATTTTGTCACGCAGACTCAATAGCGTCAACTGACTTTGGTCTTCGCTGGTGATTGGCACGCTGGCGTGAGGTCGAGGCAGCTTCCTCGTCAGTTCATCCAACAATTCGTTCGGCATGGCGCACTGTCGCCCTTTCGCTCCCTTCTTTTCTTTGGCCACGCCTCCTCCTTCTGCCCCTCCCCCAGACATGGATCTGAACTGCTCGGTGATCTCGCGCAGGGTCCGGTTGATCTGGAGATCTGGACGCTTCTGGAAGGTCCTTTTGCACAGAGGACATTGACAAACCTGCGAAGGACACATGGCCAGGCTTGAGTGCACGGCAGGGGATTTGTGGCTCGGGGGATACCTCATGGATCTACCTTGGCCCCATCCCAATATTGGTTGATGCAGGTGACGCAGAAGCTGTGGCCGCACGGCGTTGACGACGGGTTATTGAAGATGTCCAAGCAGATTGAGCACTGGAACTGATCGCTTGACAGCAGATTACCATATAAGGACATCCTGCAAAAACACATCACGTGATCAAAATAACCACAGACGCACACAAACGACAAAGAGCAAAATCTTAAAAGGAATTCTAAGGAGTACTGGCAGCCTGTGAAAGGAGGCCATGGAGTTATATGCTCCCTCCTACGTGTTCCAGGTAAGAGACGAGCAGCAGCATTTTGAAGCAAGCGGAGACGTTTGAGGGCATGCTGGCTGATTCCAAAGTGCATGACCGTAATCCATCTGAGATGTAACGAAGGCCTGGTCTACAGTTTGTACAAGTGCTGCTGTGTACGAAAAGGCTTCACCTTTGCCAGCTGCCTGAGGTGAAAAGAACTGCACCTTCCCGCATCGATTTACCGATCCAAATGAAAATCACCGTTCAACTTCTCACCCACGCTACAGACGATTGTCAAGTGTGCAACCGCAAAGGTGCCCAAGTCGACACACACGCGTACACACACACACCGCCGCTCCAATCTGATTAGGATGAAACGAAGATTTTAGGAATGAAGCGGGGTGAGATTTTAATCACATCCTGAAGGCGACATTCTGTACAAGGTCACAGATTTTAATGTGCTGCTGTTGTTGTCATGCTGGTCACCGCCATTGAAAATAACGTTTTGTTTACATTTGTCAGCAGCTCAAAAGTGACAAACAAGACAACACCGTTGCAAGATGACCTAATTAGCCTAAGTCAACAAATTGTCCCGTGACGTCACGAACAATACATTTGGCACTGTTATAGCGGGGCTAGTTAGTCACACAACACTATCAAATGTATTTTGTGATTATTGACCACACCAGCTACAGAATATATTCAGAAAAAAAAGGATGAATGAATGTACCTGAGAATTTTACTCCATTTTGTTTCTATATATATTTTCGATAAACTTTCAGGGAATCACTTAAAATCTAGACGAAAGTGATTATGAATGATTTTAGGAATTGTCAGTGTTCACAAAAGGCGACTTAAAGTGAAACAAAAGGAATGAAAACGTTTGCTCAGTTCCTTATTTTCAACGACAAATTCCTGTTGGCTGCCTCCCAGGTCTCCTCTTCGGACGAGAACCAGTTCCGAGCGACAAGCGTACATTTCCATTTCCACTTTATTCTACTGAGGGTCGGAGCGTGTACCTGATTTTCACGGGGTGGTCTTTGGCATCGAGACGGCCCTCGGGGGATGTAGGTGGCTCTTCTGGAAGCCCGTCGACAAAGTGAGAAATCAGGGTGTGCGACGACTGTGATTTTCCCCTGCCGCCACGCCCACTCGAGTCTCAGCTTCCCGGCTCAAATGTGGCCGGACTGGTTGAGTTGGGAGAACCAGGCACCTTCCACCTTATTTTGGCCAAAACAATTCCTGTTCTTTCTCTTGCGAGGTAGCTTAGCAAAAACGTTAACACGTGGCTCTTTTGAGCCTTGGGCAAATGCAGGTCCACATGGTGCACAATTATCTTTTATGGATGGAATATGTCCTTCCCTCCACTTTGTGTGTGAACGTTTTTTTTTTTTTTCCCTTCTTAGTGGGACATTCCTTTGGATAACATTTTCAGACATTTGTAGCCAGGAAATCCCGCATGAAATATTTACTGTGTGTGTGTAGGAAGTCAATGCACGCATCTATTCTAGACTTTATTTCTTGCGAAATAACGTTAATTGTACAAGGTTCTAGTTGTGATCCCGCAGAGTACAGCTGTGATGGTGCGTTTCTACCACTACTGCTCCTCGAGGGCCTGCACCACAGCGCTCAAAATGGCGGCGACAGCCTTGGCCCCGGGGTCAGGGAGGGTGAGGCGCTCAGCTGCGATGTAGCTGGCGCGGCCCGCCTTGGCTGCGAGGCTGCGAGTCGATTCGGCCCCCACGGCTGCTCTCTGGATACCGGCACAATCTGTTAGGTTTCTTGCGTGCTTGCACAACCGCGAGCTTGGGGACGTTTGTTTTGCCTCACCTGAACAGCAGATTGCAGCACGGCCATCTCTCCGCCAGGGGGCGTGCTGTTGAGTTTCATTAGCTCGTCTACGGCAGGGTAGAGGGCGTCTAACTGTGGTGGGAGAGGAGAGAAAAACAGTTGGCACAAACCACCCAAAAAGTGCCACTTCCAAGTGACTCACCATGGTTCTGTCTCCTAAATCAGCACCGCCGTATCTGTTGAAATCAAAATGGATCCAGTTTAGAGTTAATAGTGATCGGATTCTGTCAGGGTCTGTTTCGTTAAATACTAAGATGATATTCTGTTTCTGTTGAATGAAAGGAGATACACTGGTAAATTTAGTTACCTGATGATCGGCACATTGGCCGCATTGGTGTGTTTTACAACACCCACCTTCTCATGGCCTGCATCCCAGCATGCACGGCATTGGCCCAAGCTGCGGCGTGGCTCCGCCCCCCGGTCATGTGTCCGCTCGCTGCCGTGAGGAACAAACTGTACAGCTGTCAAAACACAGTGTGTCAATGTGTGCAAAATCCCCAAAATGAACCACCCAAAAATAAATTTGTATTGAGCAAACTGGAACACTTACAGCCCCTGAAGACCCGCCCATTTTCTCCTGAACCACTGTAGCTAGGGCAGACAGCAGGTGCCCTGGGCAACCGGGGACCACATGACTCTGGAGCCACACCTGAATGGCTGAGGGAGCATTTTTGTCAATGTGCTGCAGCTGTGGTTCTCAAATTGGGGCGCGGGGACCCCAAGGGTGCCTTAACTTGGGGTTCAAAAAAATAATATGGAATAAATGATGCTGTGTCATTGAAAACAAATGCATAACTTAATTTGAGAACAAATTTAATTGTCAATAGGATTATGAGGGCATCCTTGGAAAAATGTCGCTCCTGTCAAAGTGTTAAGACCCAAAAAGTTTGAGAACCTCTGCTTCGCATGCAAGCGCTGTGTGCTTTTTTTTTTTTTGCATTGTGGTCACCTTTGGCAGCCTGCGCGTGAGTATTCCCGCAGTCGCCGTCCCCAGAAGCACGGTCCAACGCGTTGAGCTCTTCCTGGTATTCCAACAGTGTAGAACACACCTTCTCCAAAACCTTGCGCATCGCAGGACTTTGGGGTCCTAGCAGGAGAGAGAAATTCAGCGGGAAGTAAAGGTGGTGGACCCTATGGGTACACCAGGCGAGGTGTAAACAAACACAGTGCAGCTCAGCTTCTGTCACACACAAATTATTCCATGAACGTCATGCAGGAAATGAACCTTCAGTCAACACGTCGTCATGCGCCCCTGCAGGCACCGTGGTCGGGTCTGTGAGGTAGCTGCGGCCGCTCGTACACCCGCTACTGAGGT